TGTCCTGGAGGGACACTTTTGCTATATCCTGTTTGTTAGAAGTCAGTTATTAGGTAGGTTCAGCTCACTAGCCAAGGAGATGGGATCATTGGGGACCATCTCATAAGCTGCCCACTGGCAGGGGTGGGGGGTCAAGATCGTAGATGGGGCGTGTACGTGACAAGCTGCCAAGAGGTCAAGTTTAGTAAGGACCAGGAGCCACTTGGTAGCCTGGCAAGAGCAGGTCTCTGCTGGGTCAGTGTCAGACACCACATTGGAATGTGTGGAGGAGTAGGGAAGGAAGAAGGGTAAATTCAAATAATTCTTTGGAGAGAGAAATGCCTTAAGTGTCTTCACCCAAAGACATGGAAACTAACATGGACCCACTGGATACTATAGTCAACAATTAGATCCAGTGGCCAAAGGTCTCCTTCCATGTTTGAAAACCATTGTGGCTACTGTAGCTATTGCTACAACATGTAGAATAGACAATAAAGGTCTCTCCAGTGACTTTTCATGTACCTCATTCAATGGAAGACAGCTCATCATACTCATCACCTCTCTGCTAGCAGACTACTACAAAGTTCTTTCATTTATTTAATGTGACTGTTGCTCCTTATAATATTCTGAATTCTATTCTTCTTCCTCTGTCCCCCAACAAAACCTATCATGACTGCCTGACATTAAGACCAGCTACCAACTCCTCAAATCGATTTACAGGAAACACCTCTTGAAAATGCTAAATTAGTTTGTTTTACTGATGGCTCTTACCTGAAATATGAAATAGCTGCTATGGAGCAGGCTATGCAGTTATCTCAAACTGAGACCACTGAGGTCAGTCCAATGCCTTAGGAAATTTTTGCTCAACCAGCAGAGCTCTGTGCATTAGTTTGAGCTTGCAATTGGCCAAAGGTAAAACAGCTAACATGGGTAATACCAAAGGTGAACCTACTATAGCAGGTATTACCTGCTATACCCATGACTTTGGGTATGATCTGGAAACCGGATTCTTGACTATTTCCAGACAAAAGATAAAAAACAGTTCTTATGTTTTACAACTCTTAGAGGCTAAATCTTTAGCAATCATAAAGTGCTGAACATTCATTGGCAAACACAGAAAGTAAAAGTAATCACTTGGCTGACACTGCTGCTAAGTTAGCTGCATTAAAACAATCTCAGCCCCAATGGACGCACTTATGCTACCAGCTGAAGCAATTGGAGATTTTTAAAATTTTTTTTATTTTATTGATTATGCCATTACAGTTGTTCTCTTCCCCCTCTTCATTCCCCTCCACCCTGCATCCCCCCACCCCTACCATTACCCCCTTTAGTTTATGACCATGTGTCTCAAATTCTTTGGATTCTATATTTCCCATACTATTCTTGCCCTCCCCCTATCTATTTTCTACCTACCATCTATGCTACTTATTTTCTGTACCTTCTCCTCCTCCCACTCCCCTGTTGCTAACCCTCCATGTGATCTTCATTTTTATGGTTCTGCTCCTGATCTAGCTGTCCTTTTAGCTTGCTTTTGTTTTAGATGCGGTTGTTAATAACTGTGTGTTTGCTGTCTTTTCACTGTTCATCTTTTTTATCTTCTTTTTCTTAGATAAGTCCCTTTAACATTTCATAAAATAAGGGTTTGGTGATGATGAACTCCTTGAATTAGATCTTATCTGAGAAGCACTTTATCTGTCCTTCCATTCTAAGTGAAAGCTTTGCTGGATAGAACAATCTTTGACGTAGGTCTTTGGTTTTTTATGACTTGGAATACCTCTTTCCATCCCCTTCTTGCCTGTAAGGTCTCTTTTGAGAAATCAGCTGACAGTGTGATGGGAACTCCTTTGTAGGTGACTGTCCCCTTATCTCTTGCTGCTTCTAGGATTCTCTCCTTCATTTTAATCTTGGCTAATGTAATGATGATGTGCCTTGGTGTGTTTCTTCTTGGGTCCAACTTCTTTGGGATTCTCTGAGCTTTCTGGATTTCCTGGATGTCTATTTCCTTTGCCAGAATGGGGAAGTTCTCTTTTATTATTTGTTCAAATAAGGTTTCCATTGGTGGATGTTCCTCTTCCCCTCCTGGTGCCCCTATAATTCGGATGTTGGAACATTTAAAGATGTCCTGGAGGTTCCTAAGTCTCTCCTCATTTTTTTGAATTCTTGTTTCTTCATCCTTTTCTGTTTGGTCATTATTTTCCTCTTTCTGGTCCACTTCTTTGTTGTGAGTCCCAGTTTTGTTTCCTGTGCATTTCCATTCATTTCAATCAGTTTAACCTTCATATGTTCCTCTAATTTGTGACTATAATCAACTAGTTCTGTGAGCATCCTGATCACCAGTGATTTGAACTGTGCATCTGAAAGTTTGGCTATTTCTTCATTGCTTAGATTTATCAGCTCTGGGGCTCTGAGTTGTTCTTGAGCCAAGTTTTGATCTGTTCGTGCCTGTTACGTACGAGGAGGTGTTCACCAGGGTGGGGCCACCCAGGTTGCTGGTTTGTGATGCTGTATGTGGGGGCAGGGTCAGAGAGGGACAATGGTGGACCCCTCTGCCACTTTCTGCCACTAGGGCCTGCATGGTCTGTCTTCACCGCTTGCTCCTTCACCAGTTTATCTGCACTCGAATGTGTGACCGAGGTCAGCCCTCAGTGAGTTCACCGCCTTGCGCCCTCAGTGGGTCCTCCCACTGCTACTCCACACCTGGGATCCGCCTACAGCTGCCGTCATGCCTGGGTTGCGCGCCGGGGTCGGTCCAGTGGATCATTCCTGCCCGACCCCACTCTGCTGCTGGCTCTGCCCCTCTTACTGGTTTGGCTGAAGGGTTTGTTGTTGTCAGACTTCCGTATAGTTCAATTTTCTGTGGTTTGGCTGCGTTTTTGTTGCTAAAACTTTGTTGTTTTTAAAACTTGGTTGTGTGAGAAGGTGTAGTGCTTCCATCTACACCTCCATCTTGGCGGAAGTCCCCCTTTTTAATTTAATTTCTTTTTTTTTGTTTTTAAAGGTTTTATTTTTAGAGAGGGGGAAGGGAGGGTGAAAGGGAGAGAAACCTCGATATGAGAGAGAAATATTGATTGGGTGCCCTTCACGCTTGCCCCATCCAGGGACTGAACCCACAACCCAGGCATATGTCCCCACTGGGCATCAAACCAGCAACATTTCACTTTGGGGATGATGCCCAATCTACTGAACCACACTAGTTAGGACAACGCTTCCTCATTTTTAGAGCAGGACATAAGCGAAGAGCAGGGCCCAATGTTGTCAGGTCGGAGTTACTCAAGACAGACAGATGCAATGAGTCAAGGAACAGGGTTTTTTATCAGGGAATAAGAGTGAAAGTGGAGCCAACCAAGGGAGGTTAAGACTCGTTTGGTTGTTCTTAGGGCAGGGTTTTTAAGCTCAAAAACCCACAAAGGTTAACTGGTTGGGGTATCAGAGTCTGATTGGCTAGAGCTGGTTGCTGGGTGCCATTTCTGCCACCATTGTTCTTAATACATCTTGTCAGGCTCAAGTTAAAGCTGCATCCTGTTATGCCAGATAGGCCCACCCCAACCCCCAGTTTTAGATGGGCATCTGTTTGTCCTGGGTAGGGTCAGCAGGCAGTTTCCCAGGCAGGTATTTTCCCACACTACAGTTTCCCACGGTACAGTTTTCCTGCTTGGTGATTTTCCATTTCTCCTAGGCCTGCCTAGGTCTGTCAAATGTCATTCTAGCCCAACTGTGAAGCAATTTTCTTATCATGGGATGTGTATCTTGAACTTACTGTGGTAAGTGGGTCTCTAGTACTTGGTTGCAATTCACCATTTGCATGAGGCACTGAGTCAGCCTCAGGATGATACAGGGAATGTGATTAGCACAGTTCTGTCATCCTGAAGCTGAGTCTGATGGGGGGGGACTGATGACTAACTGAAGCAAATAAATGAATATAATCATGTTAGTGAGATGATCCTCAAAGAAATAAAAGGACATTATGTGACAAAAACTAGCCAACTACTTTAGCTGGAATGCCAAGAAGGAGGATGTTACATGACAAAGAGCCAGCCCTAGGCAGTGAACAGATGCAGGGACTGCAAGCAGGAATAGATTTGCTATAGTCAAGGAAGAGAAACAGAAACCATTGTGGCTTTAATGAACAAGGGGTGGGTGAGAAATGAGGACTAGGGGCAGGAGATGGGGGGAGGGCAGGTCATGAGGGGTCAGCATGAGAAGAGCCAGGAGAAAATAACATAGCTATAGGCAGGAAAGGCTTCAAAAAAGGAAGTTGACTGAAGAATTGTTGTAGTTAGAAATGCAAGTAGGGGCAGTTCAAATTCCAGTGTCTAGGTTTTGTCATTTCCTAGTTTCGTGGCTTTGGGCAAGTTATTTAACATCTCTAAACCTCCTATTCCTCCCTTGTAAAAATGAGAGTAGTATTGTAATAATCGCCCTGCAGGGCTATTGTAAAAATCAGTGCCTGGAACGTGGGTGGTGCTCAATAACAGCGCAATTTGATGGAGGCTATCCTGTGGCACATAGGTGGAAAAGCTTCGTTCAGGGGCGGGGTTGTCCCTACTCTTCCTTCCTCGTTTTTGTGACCAAAGGTCATCAGGCGGGACTGCCCCTGCGGAGCACGCAACAGCAGTGGCTGCTGCAGGCGGCAGGGGCTGTCAGCGTATGCTCCTCCCTTCTTCCCCAGATCATCAGGCCCCAGTCAGTCTGGGAGGAGGATCGCTGGCTGGAGCAAACTGGTCCGTTGATAGCTGTGGACAGCTGGTAGGCGCAGGGGTGGAGAGGTGGCAGTGTCAAGGATCCGACCGCCTTCTGGGTAAGAAACCGCAGCCGCTTCCCGGCTCTGCAGGGGCTTCCAGTCTCCGCTTGTGTGCTGTCTCTTTAAGAGTCCCCGGCTTACTGGGCATCTGATTGGCTCTTTGCGCCGAGTGGGCCCTCTTTTAGGTGGATCACCATTTTATAGGATATTGGGGGCCGGTGTGGGCCCCTGTGCTTCTAGTAGGGACCTTGGTTTTTTGTTTGTGTGTGTTTGTTTGTTTTGCAGTTTTGGTTGAATGAAAAGGCCGTACTGCCCTTTCCGGGTTGCCTCTGTGGAGGAGAGCCGCAGGGTGTCCTGGGAGCCCGTAGGCTCAGCTAGGTTGATCTCTCCTCGCCTCCCTCTCCAAACTCTCATTTCTGTGGAGGCAGCTGCTGGTTGCTCTTGCGCGAGGCTCCTGGACCCCGGCCGCCTGCCCCGGACGCTGGAGGCCAGAGTCTGGCGGCCTATGCAGGGTCTGCACACTAGCAGGCGCGAATGGGTGACTGGGGAAGCGAGGCCTGAGCATAGCACAGGGCCCTCAGGTACCAGTGGCCCTCTGCTCTACCCTACCGTGGGGCTGCCACCTCTACTCCAGAGGTCCCTGGCCTTCGCTGCACCTACAGCCCTTTCCTGACCCTTTCCCGGCAGGTAGGCCCTGGAGCCTGGGTGCATCTAGGATCTTCCCGTAGCAGTTGTGAGGGAGTGCAGAGCTGATTTGGAACCCCGTCCCCATTACCACAGCTGGACCAAGGCCCATCTGTCCCGTTCCTTCCTTAGGGGTGTGATCACTTCCTGCTCTTGGCACAGCTTCAGAGAACACCCTTAGGGAAGTTTCAGAAGGCCAAGGGGTCCCCTGGGTGTGAGGATTCAAAGGAAGAGGGGACGAGGTAACTGGGAGACCTATGAGGGATGGGAAGGAGGGGAAAGCCCTGGGATTGGGCAGTGACCACACACACAGCAGCACAGGCCCAGGGCTGTGGCTAGTGAGCAGAGTTTGCTCACTCTGCAGGTTGAGGCTGTGGTGGAAGAGATATAGGCCAAGACACCCTCACATCTGGGCCTGTGTACCCATCTACAAACAGGGTGACAGAGCCTGCCTCCAGCTTTGCTGTGGCATTCAGCAGCCTGAGAGGGGCAGTGGAGTGTTGTTTATGTGCTGAGGCTGCAGTTCCTTCTAGGTTTTGCTGTTGCATGAGGGGCTCTCTGGAAGGCTGGAGGATTCTGCTTCCACAAGACTAGGGGAAGGAGGTGGGGAGCGACTATGCCTTTCAGTCTGTAATGGGGATGAGGCTCTAGGGTCCTCTCAGATGGCTCCTTCTCTCCCCAGAAGGGCTTAGCTACACTGTGCTGGGGATTCAGTTCAAATCATAACATTTGTTGAAAACTAATTTTGTGTGTGGCCCTGTTCTGGGCAATTGGGTCATGAGCACACCTGGGTGGATAGGCAGTAAACAAATAATGCACAGCTAGGGCCACTTCAGACAGAGGCCAAGTGCTGTAAAGAAAACACAGGGTGGGCTAGCTGTGAGAGATGGTTAATGAGGGGTGCTTTGAGGAGGTGGCTAGAATGGTGAGGCAATGCTGGAAGAATGATCTTGGAGAGCAAGATGAAAGCCAGTGGTTGGAGAGTGGGAGGGAATATGGCAGAGCAGTAGGCAGGGGTAAAGTCAGGTTGGGCCTTGAAGGCCAGGGAAGGGGCCCAGGGCTCCTCTCTCTCTTAGGGGTTCTGGGCTGGGCTGCTGGCAGTTTACTAGGAGTTGGCTTCTAAAGGATAGTGTCCACCAAGGCTAAGGGGTTTAAAAGCTAAACAACCTGCTAGGGTTTGGAAGCACTGATGGGCGTAACAGCAACTATGAACCAGTGAAGCTTCTCAGGGCTTTCTGATTTCTCCATCTGGTAGGGGTTGCCCCAGGGCACTCAGCATCCCAGGACTACTTCCTCTGAGAATCCCCTTCCCCGTTTCTCTGGTCTGGACTCCACTCCTTCTCTTGTCTACTCTAGCCTTCCCACCATTCCTATTCCTGAGCCTGCAGACCCCTTCCCTGTTTCTTCAGGGTTTGTGCCCCAAAGCCAGGAGCCCAGGGGCAGAGATATGGGGCAGTAACTTTTTTTTTTAGAGAAAGAAAGGAAGGGAAGAAGGAGATGAAATCAGTTTGTTGTTCCATTTATTTATGCATTCCATTTATTTATGATTCTTGTATGTGCCCTGACTAGAGATTGAACCTGAAACCTTGGCATATTGGGATGGCACTCTAACCAATTGAGCTATCCGGCCAGGACCTGGGACAGTAACTTAACTCCTCTGTGCCTCCTTTCCTCTGTAGAATGGGGAAGCTAGGAGTTTAGAGGCTGGTGTAACGGTTAAATGTGTTACCAAATATTAAGCACTTGGCTCCATGTCTGCACATAGTGTTGATAGTTGTTGTTTTTTTTTAAAAAGATTTTATTTATTTATAGTTAGAATGAAGGGAAGAAAGGGAGAAAGAGGGAGAGAAACATTGATCTTGCATGTACCCCAACTTGGGACCAGGCCCAAAACCCAGGCATTTGCCCTAACTGGAAATCAATGAGCGACGTTTTGGGGGATGATGCCCAACCAACTGAGTCACGTCAGTCAGGGCCATAGCTTCAGTTAGTTATTTTATAAGCTTTTACAAGAATGGCAGTTCTGGTGTGGGTGACAGCCTTTTAACTCAGAGCAGTGGTACAACCCGGTAGTGTGTTAGAAATGTGGACTGTCAGCCCCACCCCAGGCCTGCTGGAGCTGAACAGCACTCAGGTCTGAGAAGCACAGCTTTTCATCTCAAGTAAAGAAACTGAGGTCTGGAGAGGGTCACCTGGCAAGTTGTTCTTTGAAATCCTGGGCTCTGGAGACAGATGGTGTGAGTTGCTCTGTAGGTGATTACCTGTCTCTGAGATCTGTACTTCTCAGGGAGGATAATATAAGTACTTCCCTAGGACAGTTGGAGGGCTAAGGGAGTGTTCTCTGCTGTTATTGGGGAATTATGGGGGGAATTGGAAGGAAGCAGCTGACATTCTCATTTGTCACCTCAGACCCTGTAGTACATGTGGATATGTGAGAGGCCCTTGGACCTGTGACTGAAAGTCTCTCTATGACCCTAGCCACCTGCCACTCCTGGGAATAAGAGCAGCAGCTAGCTTTGTGTATGTGACCTTTTTGTAGACACTTACTTCTTTGGTCTTATTTGGTCCTTACGGCAACACTGTAAGGTAGGTGTTACTGACCCTGTGACACTCAAAGGGGAAATGACTCACACAGGGTCATATAGCAAGTACATGTTAGAGCCAGAACTGCAACCATGTTTGCCCAACTCTATAATTTGTGTACCCTGAAGTTTTTTAGTGGTAAATTAGAGAAATCAGGTTCAAATTGGCCTAAGCAGAAAATGGAATTTTTAGATTTTATAACTGAAAAAGTACAGGGGGATAACTAGCTTCAGGTGTGGCTGGATCCATGTGGCTCTGTCTTCAGGGTCTATTTCTATCCGTCTCTCAGCTATACAGTTCTCTGTGTTGGTTTTATTCTCATGTGGGTCTCCATATATAGGGTCAGAGTAATACAGGTCATGCTTACTGCTGTCAGCAGAAAGTGTGTATCTTTCCTGGTTATAGCAAAAGACACAAGGCTGATTCTCATTGGCCAGAACAATGGAGCATTCCAAATTGGCCAGGTTTAGATCACATGCACATTCAGTGGAGTTGTGAAGGAGTAGAGTCAGCTGTACCTAAACTACGGGATAGATACTGGGGCAGTGAGGTACCCCCTGAGGAAAATAGAGTGTTAGGCAGGCAAAGCCAAGAGAAGCTCCTTCTAAGCCTTCCCACTCTGGACTCATCCAGATACCCCATGCTCCTGCCCCATTTTCATCCCCACTGGTTTCTCTTTGCTACAGGGACCTCTCAGCTTCCTTGTGACTGACTGCTGGGTGCTTGGCCTGCCCCCGCTGTGGCTGCTTGATATTCTCTATGCCAGAGCTGGTGTGGGGGCTAAGTTCAGAAGTTTGCTCCATAAGGAGTGTGGCAGAAGGGGCTGTGGAATCTTGCTCCTTGTCTCACAGTCACTTCCAACTTATCTCAGGTCACCAGAAATCTTGAGGGAGGTGGCATATCCCCTGCCAGCTGTAAGCTCCCTGTGCTCGGCTTGGTGGCCTAGTCCTCATATGTGTGCAGCATGGCCACAGTTAATACCTCAATAGCCATACATAAGTGCAGAGAAGGGGACTTTTTTCCTTGGGAGTGTTTGCTGATCAGGGAGGAACACTTTTCTCAGGAGACTCCACAGGTGACATTACATGTTCCGCCTAACAACCATTGACAAGGAAAGTGGGCCCACCCTTCTTGACTGACCAGAGCTTCTCTGTAGTACACTACACTGTAGTGTAGCCAAAGGGAGGATGATCATTTATTTGGTAGACTATCTCATGCATTCCAGTACATTTGGCAGTCCTGGACTCTGTGCATGAAAAGTACACAGCACCCTGCCCCTGAAGTCCTTGTGTCAAACTAGAGCACCTGTGTATCCTGCTGAGGTATCCAGTATTGCCCTATACAACCACTGACTTACACTTATTGAGGTTCAGCTTCTGATGTTAGGGGGCCCCTGCCCAGAGCATAAGACATCATAGAGGGGTGCCCTGGAACAAAATAGCGGCTAGTTAGCAAAGAAGTAGAGAGCAGTGTCTGATGGAGATGCCGTGGGCAGTCTTGGCCTCTTAGCTGCTATTTTGGTGTCAGGGGCTCAGGCCAGACACCATATTTGCCTTCTTTGCTCTCCTTTCTCCCTCCACGTGTCTGTCAGCAGGTCTTGTGTCCTGACTTCCCTAAGGTATCCCACAGCCCTCCACTCTACCCAACTGCTACCTCTAGTGAAGCCACTGTCTTCTTGCACCCAGCTTGGAGCTGTAGCACCCGGGTCTCCCTGCTTCTACTCTTTCCCTTCTTTAGTCCATTGTCCACAGGAGCTGAGTGATTCTCTCTACAGGGAAATGGTATGCTGTCACCTGCTTTTGGAACACCCTTCTTGGTGCATTTAGAATAAAATCACATTGTGGTCATGTGGCCCTGTCTGATATGACCTCACCAACATTTTTTATCTTCTGTCCAGCTACACTGGCCTGTTTTTTGCCCTTTGAACAGGCCAAGCCTGTTTCTATCTCAGGGCCTTTGTGCCACTCTCCTTGGTATGCTCTTTGTCCAGACTGTTCCAAGGCTGGCTGTTTCTCTGTTATTTGGATCTCAGCTCAAATGTCTCCTTGTCTGACAGCCCAGTCTGAGGCAGCACACCTTTATGTTCCCTGGGATTCAGGCTTAGCTATTGAAACAAAGGCTGAGATAACATGATTACTCCTGTCTATTGCATGATAGTCTGTGTGCAGTCTGTCAACATGAACGGAGCCTGGTCATGCCTGGAACCCAGATACCTTTCTTATTGCTCTGTTATCCTCAATATGTGGCTTCTGTCTTGTGATCTAAAATGGGTGCTCTTGTTCCTACCACCACATCCACATTCTAGCCAATGGGAAGGGAGAAGGGCATAACCTGAAATTGGCAAACCTCACTATTCATGTGCAGTTGGATAGAATTTGTTCATGTGGTCATGGCCAGGGGTACAGACCCTAGGAGAATGGTCATTGTTCTGGGAAGGCAAGTGCAAGCTAAAATCCAGGGGTTCTATCACTCCAGGAAAGGATGCATGTTGGGGATTGCAGCAGTCTCTACTGTTTCTGTCCTTCTGTCCCACACCTCTGCAGTCTTCTTATCTCAGCACTTAACTCTAGGAGGAGTTTGCTTTTAAAATATGGGCTTTTGTACTGGCTATAGGCCTCCCCTCCTAGAATGAAGGTCCTGTGGGGGCACTTGTGTACCAGCACTTGGACTCCTGCCTGGCTCACAGTAGGTACTCTGCACCACCTATAGGTGGTGAAGAATGCATGAGTGAGGGAAGGGGTGGACTTCTTTATCTGTCTTTCTCATTAGTAGAGAATAAAGGAGCCCACTTCTTTCTTTGGATCTATTATGTGTCAGGCATATGTTCTCTTTAATATTCCTCACTGTTGATATGTCCTCAAGTTGCAGGTGGGCATGTGATCTCAGAGCCAGTCATTGGCTTGTGGGAGAGAGGGATGGAGGGGTTTGAGCCACAGGTCTTGGCCTAACCTTTTGGAGTCTTCTGTCCCTTTAAGCGGGAGGTAGCACTTTTGTTTCATGGCTGTGAGAAATAATGAGGATGTCCCTGCATCCCCTCCAGCTCTGCATTGGGCCTGCTGTTGTTCCGGGATAGTGTTAGTGACAGATAAGCACTGGTTTCTGTTGCAGTGCTGCAAATCCTTCTTTCCAACAGGTGCTAAGTATCCTGGGCTGCTCCTTGCTGAGTGGGAGACCTGTGCTCTTGGTGTGCAAAAGAACATCTAAGTTTTAAAATATTTACTGAGATGTAATCAATACAGACAAGTACACAAATGATAGGTCCATGAGTTAGTGTATTAAGACAGTGAGCATGCCTGTGTACCCACCACCACCCAGATCAAGCAACTAGAAGCTGGTGTGCCTCCCTCCACTCCTCTGCCCTCCATCCTCTACAAAGGTGACTTTCACCCAGCTGTGTGCCTAGGGTCAGACTGCATAGCTCCCTCACATTAGTATCTGCAAGACTTTCATGTTGCTGCCTGTAGTAGTAGTCCATTCTTTTTATTTCTGTACAGTATTCCACTATTCATGCAAACTGCCATTCTCATGAGGCTATTATGAACATGCCCAGAAGTGGAAATGCAGGTCATAGGGCTCAGTCTGTTCAACTCATCATTTTAAATGCTGACATCTGTTACATCCTGATGACCAGGCCACACATGGCTCACCTACCCTGAGCCCCTCAAGTTCCCTGTGGAAGTCTCTGCCACTGTCAATGCAGGACCAGCTCTACTGTTACGAATCTGAGTCCTTGGACCTGCAAGCCTGCCTCAGTTGTCTAGGGTGGCTCAAGGATTCTAAACTACCATGTCTCCTATCTTCCATGCTGGACTCAGACCTCTCATTCTCAGATCATCACATGGGTGCTTGACTGTGCCACCCCCCTCCACCACAATGCCGCAGCAGTTCCCTCTACCTCCCTCCACAGTACCTCCCCTTCCCTCACCCTCTCCACTTCAAGACCTCCATGCATCTTCCAGGGACAGTGCAAGTGTTCCCTCTATTTATGTTTGCCTTTCCAGATTGGGCAGCAGAGGGAGACGGGCTTGAGGGCCACCTGAGGTGTGCTCGATACCCTGCTCTGGCACTTGGCAGCTGTGATTGCACTTGGCCTCCAAGTGGGTTCAGCATGGTTTTGGAGGATTGGAGCTGAAGCTCAGCTACTGAGGACTTAATGTGTGTGGGTTGTTGGAGGCACCTGACGTCACTTATCTGCAGCCTCGCAGGGTGGACATTGTTACCCCCATTCCAGGGATGGGAAATTGAGGCACAGGGTGAACAAGGAAGTAAGGGGCAGGTGAACCCTGTCTCTCCCCAGCTCCCCAGAATAGGAGGGACTAACTGGGGTGATGTCAAGTAGTTTGCATTGCTGTGCCTGGCACAGAGGCAGGCTCAATCACTGGAGGGGGCATTCTTTTATTGTTTGGGAGTTACAAGATAGCCTGAGACAAGGAACTGGATCCCTGTGTAGGGGTTGGGTTGGTTTGGGGAATGTGACAGTGCCATATCTCACCTCTTACCTGGTATGATGGGGAGTAGGCAGCCCCTCTTGTATACCACTGGGAGCCTGAGACCCAGAGGGCCAGGGCTACACAGCTTCTGCACTGCTAACATGGTGGCTCTCACTCCCCAAGGCCAGCTGCTGGTGGAATGGAGACCCTTCAGGAGGTGATTTGGGCCAACGGGAGCACAGTTCTGCCCCCACCCCTGGCTCCCAACATCAGTGTGCCACATCGCTGTCTGCTGCTGCTCTACGAGGACATTGGCACCTCTAGGTAAGGCAGTCACAGCCTTGGGCTAGCTAGCTATGAGTGGGTTTTCCTGGTGTGTGTGTGTGTGTGTGTGTGTGTGTGTGTGTGTGAGAGAGAGAGAGAGAGAGAGAGAGAGAGAGAGAAAGAGAGAGAGAGAGACAGGGGTGGGGTAGAATGCAGGCACATCCTCACCAGTGAGCTGGTTTCTATACCTGTCCACTAGGGTTCGGTACTGGGACCTCTTGCTGCTCATCCCCAATGTGCTCTTCTTCATTTTCCTGCTCTGGAAGCTGCCATTTGCTCGGGCCAAGATCTGCATTACCTCCAGCCCCATTTTTATCACCTTCTATATCCTGGTGAGTTTACTCCAATTGGTGACAGAAAACCCAATTCCAATTGGCTTTAACAAAAAAGGGAATATAAACTGCCTCTGTAATGAAGGAGCAACTTCAAGTATGGCTGGGTCCAGGGGATTAGGTGATGTCATCAGGACTCTATCTCTCTCTGCATCACTGCTCTCCTCTGGCCTTATCTCAGATGAGTTCTCCCCGTATAGTGTCAAGGATAGCCAAGAGCAGCTATGAGCTAATACCTTGCCTCTCTGCCAACTCTAGCAAAGTACCTCCACTGTAACCTGGACTTCCTTCTGATTGGCCCACATTGGATTCTCTGTTCAGCCCTGAGCCAATTACTGGGACTAGCTGGGAATGAGGTATTTTGGAGTTGCAAAGTTGGGGTCAGCTCAGCCAGACCAGCAGAGGATGGTGGTCCTTGGAAGAAAATTGGGGAACCATTACTGGAGGGAGGACAAATGGAGTCTGGATAGGGAAAAAATACCCACTAAACCTCCATCCATCTGTCCATCTATCATCCATCCATCCACACATTCTGTGAAACTCTTTGGAACAGACTTCCCTCCTGTTGGGAGAGCCTATTTCTTCTTATTCAGTGGTCTTGGTGGGTGTTGCCTTGGGAGAGTACAGCTGTGGTTAAGTAGGCAGCCCTAGGTGCAAGTCTAAGATGTGGGCTGTCCAGCTCCCTGTCTTCAGGGCTCAGGCCTAACTGACTGGAGTCCTCCCCTCTGTGCCTCTTAGCTATCACTACATGAGAGTTTAATGGCTCCATGGTCTCCTTCTTGTGGCCTTCCCAGTCAGAGGAGTGGGTAGTAGGTAGGCAGAGAGGCAGGGGAGGCTTTTGGTGATCTCTGCTCTTGTGAGGTGGTATTAAATAGGGATGGGGATCAAGGCCTGCTTTCTTTTCTGTCCTCTCCCACACGTCTCTGACCATTTACTTGTTTGCGTATTTATTCAACAAATATTAAGCACCTACTGTATGTCAGGCAGATGCTCTTTCTGGGGGAGCAGGCAGGGAAAAGGGACCTAGGGCCAATTACCAGGAACATGAGGCAAGGCCAGGGGAATCAGCACTGGCCCTGCCTTCTTCCTCTTGGGGACTCGTCCTGGAGAGGAGGCAACAGTAAGTGTCCACTTATGTAGACCACCTTCAAATTCCAGCTGTGCAGAATGAGACTTTGGGCCAGTGGCTTGACCTCTTGGTACCTCAGTGCCATCCTACATGATGTTTATTGGATTTGATTTTGCTTGTGGCACTCCTGTGACCTCTACATGACAATGGGCACAGCTGCTGCTCAGTGGTGGCTTGGCATATATGGTATGTACTTGGCAGTTTGTTGCTTCTACAGCCTGTCCTGCTTAGTAGTATAGTCTTCCCCAAGACTTGGACATGGCTTTCATAGCACAAAGGAAAGAGTAGGTATGAATGTGGGCTCTTTTATTTGTATCTGTCAGAACACCAAACTTAAAACCCACAGAAGCCAGAAGAAATGTGTTGACTGAGCAACTAATAATCCTAGGGTTTTGGGCATGGCTGGATTCGGAGGTTCAGTAATGCTGTACAGCACTGTCTTTAGCTCCTTCTCAGCTTGGTGTCTTTCTGATGGCCCTGTCTCTAGCAGTCTTCTCCCTTTTGGCAACCAAGCAGCCCAGCAGCTCTGGGCTTGCATCCCTTCAGCTTCCTTTCCCAATGATTGCAACTGATGTCCTTTTACTCAACTCTCTTGGGTCCTACCCCCATCCCCAAACCAGTGGAATAGCATACAAGAATCACAGGTCAGTCCCTGAAGCCAGGAGTAGTAGGGTCAGCCTCTTCCCCCAAACCATGTGAAGGAAGAGGGTGGGAGAAAAATGAGGCTGTTACCAGAGGAAGGATACTAGGCTGACAAAAGCCACAGATTCACAGGCACTTCTGAAAAACCTCCTGTGCACCTTCCCTGTGAAGAGGGCCTGTGATGCCTCTTCTCTGTGGCCTCCTTTCCTCCAGCCCCTGCATCTCAGAATTAAAACCATCAATATGACAAGACTAATAGCAGATGTGGACCTTGAAACTACTGGGTGTCAGACACACTTTTACATTGATTTGCCCATTCAGTCCTCCTAGTGATCAGATGCAGTAGGTGTTATTATTACATCTATTTTATAGATGGGGAAACTAAGGCATGGAGGTACAGTTGATTGCCTGAGATCACAGAGGAAGGAAGCAGCAGAGCTTGGATTTGAACCCAATCAGTCTGGTTCTACCATGTCACTAAACTAGCCATTCCATAGCTGGGACACTGAGGCCAAAGTGGAGGGTGGTCTCCTCATCTCCCAACTTGTTTGGTTTGGAGTCCTTCCAATTTTAAGGGATCAATACTATTACAGATGTGAAGTGTGGGTTTGCTGTCCTTGTGATTCCCACAGGCCTCATTCCCCAACTCCACAACACCCCCCTCTCACCCACCAGGTGTTTGTGGTGGCGCTGGTGGGCATCGCCCGGGCCGTGGTCAGTATGACGGTCAGCACCTCGGATGCTGCAACTGTTGCTGATAAGGTGTGGCTGGGCCTGTTGACAAGGGAGGTGCTGGGCACTGGGGAGATGGGTGACAGGGCTCCCAGGCTGACACTCTGCCTACTCTGTGTCCAGATCCTGTGGGAGATTACCCGCTTCTTCCTGTTGGCCATCGAGCTGAGTGTGGTTATCCTGGGCCTTGCCTTTGGTGCGTCTGCTGCTGGGGCCAATATTTTTCCTGCCCCTCCCTGGCTGGGGTCAATCCTACCACAGTCACCTGGGCTGACGTCCGCTGACCTACCAGCATGTTTCTTCCAGGTCACCTGGAGAGCAAGTCAAGCATCAAGCGGGTGCTGGCAATCACTACTGTGCTGTCTCTGGCCTACTCTGTCACCCAGGTAAGAAGGGTTGGGTGGGGCAGGGTAGCCTTGGGGTCTCCCTGGAGGAGGCCTACAACCAGCAAGGGCCAGGTATCCATTTCCTCCTGGTCCTGGATAAAGGTTTGAATGTTTATCAGGTACAGTGTTCTCAGATTTTAAGTGTATCTAAGGAATCATCTGGTGTGCTTATTAACAAAGCAGGTTCTGGAGGCCCTTCCCAGATTCCTATCTGATGGGGTGGAGTGGGGTGGGAGGGGTGGAGGAGGGGAGGATGCTGTCTTCTGTGGTTTTAACAAGCAGCTTAGGTAGAAGAATGTAGGTCTACTGAGCTCTGTATCCAGAGGGTTCTTTCTTAGTTCGGGACAAGGTTTGCCTCTTGCCCAGCTCTGTTCCCTGCCCCACGCTAGGCCTATGCTGAGTGCTGGAGCTACAATGGGCAGGGTTTGGTCAGAGAGCAGGCTGGAGCAGGAACCTCTGGGGGCCAGGCTGGGGCTGGGCTTGGTATGGTGGAGAGCATCTGGGGCTCTGCATTGGGGAAGGCCCCAGGGAGGGGACTTTCCAAGTAGCTGAAGTCTGAGAGTCTACTCTCCCCTGTCTGCCCCTGCAGGGGACACTGGAGATCTTGTACCCCGATGCCCATCTTTCAGCTGAAGACTTTAACATTTATGGGCATGGGGGCCGCCAGTTCTGGCTGGTCAGCTCCTGCTTCTTCTTCCTGGTGAGGCAGAGGGTGGGCCCCAGGCCTGGGTGTGGTGGGGGTGGCATGGTTGGTTGAGGTCTGGCCTAGCTCTGGGCCTGGTGCTCCCCAGCACCCTTCTCAGCCCCTGTCTGCCTCTGCAGGTGTACTCTTTGGTGGTCGTGCTTCCCAAGACCCCTCTGAAGGAGCGAATCTCCCTTCCTTGTGAGCTGCTCTGGGACACTGCTGGGTGCAGAGAGGGAGGGGCAGTCTGTTTGGGCCAGCTGGAGAGCCCTGGGTGGGAGGGAGGGACGGATAGCTGCCCCAGGAACTAATGGGTCCCAATGAGGTGCTTGGGATGTAGTGGGGATGAACTGTGAGGAGAGGGCAGGACCTCACGCCCCCCACCTCCCAGCGCGGAGGAGCTTCTATGTGTACGCAGGCATCCTGGCGCTGCTCAACCTGCTGCAGGGGCTGGGAAGTGCGCTGCTCTGTGCTGACATCATCCAGGGGCTCTGGTATGGAGGCTGGGGGAGCTGGGACTGGGAGGCCCCGCCCTCTTGGGGAGGCCCCGCCCTCTTGGGGAGGCCCTGCCCAGCGAGGCCTGCTCTGACCTGCCTCCTCCCCCAGCTGTGTGGACGCTACCACGTTCCTCTACTTCAGCTTCTTCGCACCCCTCATCTACGTGGCCTTCCTCCGGGGTTTCTTCGGGTGAGTCCTTCCACAGGGGCCGGCGGGACTGGTGGGCTGGAGATCTTGGCAGAATTCAGGGACCTTACCTGCCCACTACCAGGGGTTGGAGGGCTCCGAGAACCCTGCGTGGCTGCAAGAAGGCTGCAAGTGGGACTGCGCCTTCTTCCTGCGCTTGCTCACCTGCATGGTATGATGGCCTGTAGAGCTACCCTACTCTAGATGCAGGACAGACGAGGCAGAGTATATGTGTGTACACATGTAGACATATGTTTATATACATAGACACACAAATACACACATGCACGGGTCTATGCATACATGTATATGAGGTCATGTGTATACATATATAACCACACATGCATATATACACATGAATGAATGAATACACACACGTATGCATACATATATACTTTCCCCACAAGAGAGACCGGCTATGCACATTGTTCTGCACTTGCTGTTTTTCATTTAAGAATAGATTAGCTCATTCATTCCTTTAGCACACATTCACTGTTCTAGGCACAGCTGTAGCCACAGGCACAACTGGGAACAAAATATACACAAATTTTTACGCTCATGGAGCTTGTATTTTAGCTGGGGGTGAGTGGGCAGAGGAGCAGGGTTGGGGGAGTCCAGCATGTATTTGAGCATGGAATGGGGTTCACTTTAGTTCAAATGTGTGTTTGGAGGTATGTTAGGGAGATGGGTTGATAATGATGTACAGGATTAAGGGTCAGACCCCAGGCCTCTGAGGTGGTGGAAACTGAAGCATTTTTCCCCAACCCCACCCTTCCGCACTTGCCAGGTCCGAGGGATGGGGTGGAGGAATCTTGCTGCTGAATAGGAAGTCTAGGAGAAGGCTTTAGAGGTAGAGTGAGAAGTACTAGATTGATTGCAGCCTATCCTCAGTCTGGCCTCAGGCTCTTGTTTATAAATTAGGTGCAGTGCTTTCTCCCTTGGAAAGTAATTCTGAGGATTGAGGGATTTGGTGAATTTAGAGTAGGTAGTTAAAAGCTGCAGGGGTGAAGGTCACAGCCCATGCTTGCTGAGCATATTGGGCCAGGTACTGTTTTATGCTGTTCACCCTCCACAAAGAACCTCTGAGGCTGGGGTTGTTGTACCCATTTTGGGTGAGAAAGCAGGCCCAGAACCTTTTACACAAGCACACACAACCAGGAGAAGGAGGCTGGGTTTTAGTCATGTTGGACTCCATAGTTCAAGAAATAGGTACCTTAGGTTGGGTGTTGGGCAACCATTAGTGCATATCCTGCTGGTCTTATGGTCTCATTGCCCAGTGAGGGAGGTCCTTTCTGGATTCAGACAGTAAGTTCCCCTGCCCATCTGTCCTCCCTACCAGCTCGGAGCCCAAGATCCTCTTCTCCTACAAATGCCAAGTGGATGAAACTGAGGAACCAGACATGCACCTGCCCCAGCCCTATGCTGTGACACGGCGGGAGGGTCCAGAGGCAGAAGGTGCTGCCAGCACACATTTTGACTCAGCTGGTATGGTGTCCTACCTGGATGACATCGCCTCCATGCCCTGCCATATGGGCAGTATCAACAGCATGGACAGTGAACGCTGGAAGACTCTCAATGCCTGAGTGCAGTTGTCCTGGTTGGAAAGAGTGCCAGGGCCCATGGGGGCAGATGGAAGAGGAGGCCAGGTAGCGCAGATTCCCTGGAGGGGAGGAGGAGGATAAGGTTATGAGACCTTGTGTGGGTGGCAGCAATGTGTAGGCTCTGTCCTTCCCACTGGTCCCCTAGTTCCCCTCAGCCACCTCTGCCCTAGCAGCCCCTCTCCGTTCCATCTGCCCTTGCCCTGTTCTGCAGCATGGCCCAGACTTTGATCTCCAGGGCCAGGCTTGGCTAGACTAGCTGAGGGCATTTTTTTTCTCCCAAGGAGAAAGTCTGGGTACTTAGGACTGATCTGGCCCCCTCCCTATAGCACTTTGGCCTTCTTAAAGCCCAGTCTGGCAGGTGGGCTGAAGAGTGTATAGTTTCTTGATGTATTTTTTAATAAAAATGAAAAGGAGTGAAGGTGTTGCTGTGGAGATTTTGCAGGAATACTGGGGCTGGTTCCTTTTAGGAGCTCAAGGGCTGGGCTGTTCAGATGTCCTGGCAGATGCCTCTGCATCCAGAGCCCAGGGAGGTCCAACCAAGGACCACTGCCAGCAGGTAGGCCCTGCTGGCTGCTAGGAGGTGGGGTGAAATCTGACCCTAGTCATCCCTGTTAGGGTGAAGGAAACAAATGTAGAAAAAGATTTGTGTTTCTGGGGGCTCTTTTGCTGCTCTGTTGAAGAGTGTAGGGGTTGGGATAAAGTCTTTGGGTCCTGTCCTATCTCTCCTCCTGTTCCATTGACTTGAGCCAGCCACTTCCTCCTTTAGTTCCAGTTTTACCCTCTGTTAAAGAGGATAAGGAGCCCTGTCCTGCAGGGATTTTATAAGGACTAGAAAATAGTGTGAATGACTGGAATTTGGGAATGTAACAGTAATGATAGTGTATTGTTTTTAGCCTCTAGAATAGAGCTTGGCATGCAGTAGGCACTCAGAAGACAGGATACTGGGGGATGATATTCAAAATGAGTACAATGAGGTAAAAATGAGGAAAGTCAGAGTAAAACAGTGGGTTGAGAAAATGAAAAGAAGAGGAAGATTCCATGTGTCCATATTGCTGCTGGTTTAGCTAACTTTGGCTTTCAGTTGTTTGGAAGCCAAAGGAAGAAGAGAGTTATAATTCTGTAATTCCCACTGTCAGAAAGGAGGAGGTCTTAGCTGGGGCTGGGGGTATTGTCAGGCCTGGCACTCACCTCTGCTGCTGTCCCTTTTCTCAGGAGTGCATGAAAGCACAGCTGGTGACAGTGGAGATAATGTGCCAGGCTCCCCAGGACCCTGGGCCTAGAGGGCTGACAGTGGCATGGGCATGACAAGGGCAAAGGCACAGCTAGCTAGCTGGGTTCCCAGTTGAGGGGACCCCAGGGCTGCTGGAGGATCCTGGCAGGATTCTCCACTTGGTATATTTTGTTACAACCTCACAGCATTTGAATAATCCTGTTGGGTGAGAAAGGAAAGCCTGTGGAGTGTTGGTGGCCACATGGGGCAGGTGTGGGGGTTGACAGTCAAATCCAGAGCTGGGAGCCTTTGATGCTTACACAATCTAAGATGTCATAGTGACAGCCTAGTTTACTCAGTGAGATTACTGAGTAAGCAGCCAAGTCCTCAGGGAGGTGTCAACAAAAGAAAAAAGGTAAGTTAGAAGCCTGCTGCTTTTTTGTTGACTTTAAAGTTTGTTTGTTTCTTTAAATAAGTAATACATGTAGGTAGCAAAAAAAAAGTTCATGCAACAAGGGTTATACAGTAGGAGGTGAATCTCTGTGACTTTGACGTTTGGTTTTCCACCCTGCCTCCCAGAGTCACTGTGAGGGGGTCTCTGTAGTCTTGTGGAAGTACATGTATGTGTGTGTATATTACCTCTGGTCCGGGAATGTAAATGTTGTGTAGCTTGTTTTCTCCACTTGATAATTGATCTGATAGTGATCATTCACTTTGGCAGCGGCATGTATCATTATGGATACGTGGCAATTTATTTGACCAGCCTTTGTTTCTAATGTGTTTGGCAACAACAAACAATGCAGCAACAAAAGTTCTTATAAATAAGCTTTTGGTAACTCATGTAAGTATAATTGCTAGAACACACAATCTTAATTAAATTGTTTTATTTAGTTTTATGGTCTTCTGGCAGAGATTAATAGCTGTTTTTCAATATGTACTCTCCTTTTCCTTCACTGTGATAAAATGCCTGATTTTTAGCTGGTTACACAGCTGCCTGGAATAAAGACTATATTTTGCCAACTTTCCTTGCAGGTGGGTGTGGCCATGTGACTAAGTTCTGGAAAATGGGATGTAAGTGTGCATGCAACTCCCTCAGAAAGAGGGTAAGCCCTGTTGTTTCCTGCTAAACTGGGCTGTGGTTGCAATGGTTGGAGTGTCGTGACCATTTGAATTACGGGGTTATCTTGGGAATGTAAGCCTCCCATGACAGTGCAATAAGGTAAAAGGAGCTCATGTCCCTTATATGTGGTGCATTCATTACAGCCCTAGGTTTCCTGCCTTCAGGTGATTTTCTGAATATGAGAGAAAAATAAACATCTATCTTGTTTAAATCACTTTGGATTTTTTTTCTTATAGTTGAACCTAATCTGAACCAACAAACCATTCATAAAGGCTGGACTAGCCTAGTTTTAACTCCTGCCAGAATAGCCCGACCAGACCAACACTGTATGCTGTTCAAATTTTCCAGTCCTCCTGAGGAGCCCTATTTATGTCTCTTCTGCTTGGATCACATCTCGTGTGCTGTGCCTGGGTGGGAGCAGACATCATGTAGAAGAATGGCCAGGATGTGCAGGTTCTGGCAGCTGCAATATGATGATGGAGTTCACCAAATATGGCCCAATTCCCAGTCTTACCTCCTCAATGCTGCTTCTCATGGGCTGTGGGCTTTGGGTAAGTCAAATCCTTTCATAACCCTCAGTGTCCTTGTTAGTGATGTGAGGTAGCAGATGACTGGTTGCTACCTGATACCCATTTTTCCTCCTTTAGTAACCACACCCTGATGATTTATGGCTCAGTGAAGCACCCGGGTAAAAGGTACCTCCATTGCAGTCACTCATGTAACTAAGTTCTGACCAATGGGATGTTAACAGAAGTAAGAGAGACATTTTAGTAGAGACTGCTTCAAAGGTGTTGACTCAGCTAGATGTACTCTTTTGTCTTGCCTCTCTCCTTCTTGCTTCGAGGAATGCAGATATGATAACTGATTCTCTAGCAGCTATATTAGATGATAACTTTGGAAAGCTATTCAGCAAAAATGATCAAATACAGGGGTTCCCAGGCCACAGACTACTAGTGGTCCGTGGCCTGTTAAGAAGTAGGCTGAACAGCAGGAGGAGAGCAGCAGGCAAGTGAGCTAAGCTTCTGTATTAACAGCTGCTCCCCATTGCTTGCATTACTGCTTGAGCTCTGTCTCCTGTCAGATCAGCAGCAGCATTAGATTCTCATGGGAGCATGAACCCTACTGTGAACTGTGCATGTGGGAGATCCAGGTTGCATGCTCCATATGAGAATCTAATGCCTGAAGCTGTGATGCTAGTGCTGGGGAATGGCTGCAAATACAGATTATCATTAGCAGAGAGGTTTGACTGCACAGAGAACATAATCAATTGCTTGCAGACTCATCAAAACCCTATCAGTGAGTGGCAAGTGACAATTAAGCTACATCTAGTGGCAGGCTATAAAACCTCCCGACCCCAGTCTGTGGGAAAGTTGTCTTCCATGAAACCAGTCCTTAGTGCCAACAAGGTTGGAGAGTGCTGATCACATAGATTTAACAATATCTGTCCCTACTGATGATGGTGATGCTATACCAGCAGTAAGCTGCTTCCAACAGACTTCTTTTACACGAGACAAACTATCTTGTTTACTTGTTTATGGCAAACCCAGTCTCAACTGAAACACCTGAGGATTATGATAATGCCTACCTCCATGGTTGTTTAAGGGAGACAGGATAATTTTTCAAAAAAAACCTAATTATATCTTTTTCTTTCTGAACTTCACCCTTCTCCCATGTCAGCAGGAGTTTGGTTTACAGCTTTCTTGCCCAAGAAACTTTGAAGCTGGTATATGACTTTCTGACTGTGTTTTCAAATGCCTAGGGTTACAGAGGGCAGTAGGGGCTTATAGAAAGAAACAGGTGGGCATTCCCTTGGGAGTGAGGTCTGTGTGACCCAGAGCATTATTCTATCCTGGAATGGTAATGGTAGAGCCATGTCAAAACTGAGCCTCTGTCCCTGAGGACCTCCATGAGAAGAGTGTTTCTGCTGAGCTGATCAGAACACATAACTGGAATAAAAACTAAACCTTGTCCTTTAAGCTCTAATGTTTGGGGTTATTTGTTGCTGTAGTATATCCTGCCTGATGCAAGGGTTAACAGAGATAGGCTACTTGGTACACAGTAGGTGCTCAGTTCATTTGGTTTCCAGTAAATAGGGAGAGTAGGACCTCAGCTGGGAACAAGGAACATTTATGAATTTCTGGGATTATTCTCTCATCTTCTGCCTTATGGACCTCATTTTCAGACTTCAGATCATTTTGTCAGTGTCACACAGTTGTCCCACCCATTTGTGGCTCATAGATATCTGGGCCAGCCTCATAACCCAAACACCCTAACTTTCCCCCTTCAGGTTCCAGGAGCCTCACCTCTTTGGGGATAGTGCTTGTGTGACCTTGGGGAGGAGTTAATGCATTGTGGTGGCACAAGCTTGTTTTTGGAGATGGGGACTGTGAAGTTGAGGAAACACTGACATCCATGGGTAGTATTTATTAGAGCATCTCCAGTACCCTGAAGCTGAGCTATCTCCTGGAATGCTGACATGGGAAGCATCATCTCTTCCTTGACAGGGTGTCACTGACAAGCTGCCTGGATTTTGCAGTCCCAGGCCCTGAACCCCAGAGAATCAGGCATGCTCTCTCCTAGGGAGAAGGGGAGTCACCCCTCTTAGAGCAGCTAGCTTTCTGGGCTGGTTTCCAACATCACTCAGGTTGCCAGCATCTGCCACCTGGGCTGTCTAGCACCATGTCACTGAGTCTGTGGCAGATGGGCTGCTAGAGAGAATTCCTGCTTCCGATTTTCCCTGCAGACCGTCCTCCACAGGGCAAGCCATCCCAGGAGGGATCCCTCCCCAAGGCAGGCTGTTCCAGGGGGCCACCGCCAGCCCAGAGAAGCAGCTGCAGAACCATCAGAATGGGAGCCGCAGCCACCAGCAGTGTGTGTCCTCAGTCTAGGAAGTGGGTTTGTGGAGAAACAAGGTGTCAGAGATACCTGTTTGGTTCCAAGCCCCAATGAACAGATTGGTATGAGTGGCCTGGAGCAGATTGGCAGTCTCATTGAGCAAGAGACTAGAGCCACATTGCTCAGAACTACAAAAACTGAGACCTAAAGGACATAAGTCCTGAGTTCCTATTGTCCTTGGGGATTTGT